ATATTATATTTTTTATTCAGTCTCATATGTGGCATATGGCATTCACTTATTATTAATAGTTAAATTACTGTAAATGACAACCAGTAAGTTACCATTAAGTTTAATGATCAGGCAAATACATATTTCAGTTACACGTGAGATTTTTTTCTATATTTATTTTTTCAGCACAGCTTCAACGTCATTTAAGTTTTTTCCTGCTTGCACAGAATGATAAGGTTACGAAACCACAGAAGATTACCGTTTCACGCCCTCGATCCAGTCTTGAGTCTTTTCCAAATGTGTTTGATATTCAAATTTGTATGCTTGGCATTTGCTTTTCCCTGCTGCAGCCACAAAATGAGCTAAAAAGTGGGGAAAGTGAACCAGAACACTGAATTAGTAAGCCATATGACTGGATAACCTTGTTTGCCAGAATGATAGAGTAATCCTTGAGATGTGAAATAATAAAAAGTAAGTACCTTCCTATTTTTAACAAACTTTCTAGCTTCTGTTTCTCCGGATGTCTGCATTAGGAGAGAACAGACTATGCAAAATTTGCCAAAGCAGCAGCTCAATCATATTTTGTGTTGAACCTATTATTTTAAGATTTGCTTTGAAAACTATACATATTCCATTCTATGCCACAAATGGCAATAAATATAGATATGTATAGCAAACAAGTGAACATTTAGATTGTAATCATCACTTCAGCTAGCATCAGACTTTAAATAACAACCAGTTAACATAAATTTACCCTGAGATCTCTAAGACTATATTATCTTCACTCTGCAGATGCACAGAGGGCAGGTTTTGTGTACACACATGCACAAATGCATTTGTCACACACCTGGCCTCTCACACACAATACTCTTTGTATTTGAATGTAAATGCAAGGACTCTTCAATCAGCAGTCATTCAGACTCTCACTTATCTCGTCAATTTGCTCCATGCAGGGACCTTTAAGCCTTGTCTTGACCTTATGTTACCATAGCAACACCTCCTGGAGGGTTTTCACAGAGCTGCTCGTGCAATGGCAGACAGAGAAGTGATGCACTTCAGGAAGAAAAATTGTCAGTCTGCTCTTATTGTGTTTATCAGAGATTAGGGTGGGAGGCAATAGCAAAGGCAAAATGAGGAGAGTGTAGGGGAGTGTGTGTGTGATTAGGTTAGCCTTGCTGACTGTTCACATCTCAGTGGGACATTCAGTGACTATCTAATGTATGGTGTGAGTAAAAAAAACAAAAGATACCTGCAACCACTCCGTTTGTGTTATGGAACCATTAAACTTCTTATTTCCCCTTTTATATATTAATTAACAGATATTCGCGTTATGACAGTGATGTGAAGCCTGTGATATGTTAGAAAATCATTTGTCTTCACTAACCATGGATGTGAATTGCATTACTATAGTTTTTATATGTTCAATTCCATTTTATTATTATAGTGCCAATTCACAGCCACAGTTGCCTCAAGGCGCTTTCTATCACAAGACAAAGATCCTACAATATCATAGAGAAAAACCCAGCAATTCACTGTGAGCAACCACATGGCAACAGAGGGGAGGAAGAACTCATTTTAATAAGAGGCAACATGTGGCAGAACCAGGCTCAGGAAGGGGCAGCCTTGTGCTGTGACTGGCTGCTGAATGAGAGGAAAGAGAAGGAGGAAAAGGGAGCATAGAGAGACAAGGACAGAACTTAAAGGTAATTGTGGATTTTTTTAAGCTTAATAAATGATGCACATACTAGCCACAAGGTTGGATTACAAAGAGAATGCACTCCAAATAGTCACAATGTGTAACCACAGAAAGGTTTTGGTTTCCTACTATTTGTTCATTATCTATCCAAAACAGTTTTTTTAATAAATGTTGGAACCATAAAAACCAGAACGATAATTTTTTTTATATTTTTTTATTTATGGAGACAGGATTAAGAGTGAACACTGGCTCTTGTGCCTCAGCTGATTTCTAATATTTTGCTGAATCACTTTTACTGCATTACAACATTCTTTTCTTTTGTGTACTCCTGATACGCTTTATTGAAAAGGACTTATTGAGACTTTATACGTCACTCAAGTTCGCTGACTGGAAAAAAAAATCAATGACTGAGGCCAGAGAAATAATTGGTGCCTCGATTTAATCTGTTGAACCATTTTAGCTCCGTGTCTTTGTACAGTGTGACACCTGAACGTTGTACAACTCCATATTCACAATCACAGCACTGTTTGTGATACGAAGCCTGTCAAAGGTTAGTCAAGAAGACTGTCTCACGTTTATACCACCATTCATGTTCCCTCTCACACAGCACCTAGTTTATAAAGGCGACTGACTGATGATGTTCCTCTCTGTGTTTATCATAGTTTCTGTCTCTTATCCAATTTTTTGCACTGTGGTCATTTAAAAAAATGTCTAAGCCTCTGCTGCTCTCTGTGGTCATTTCCTTGTCAGATTGATGGAAAACTCTTCCACCCCATTCATCCTCACTTTTAATCAGGACCTCTGTCCTCAGGTCCATCCATTAATCTCACCATTTGTCATGCTCCACATCACATCCATCCAGATCTCCAGCATCATCCTTCACCCTGCGCTGCCATCACCACCGTCTAGACTCCCTCCAGAGGATTTTTCCAGTACAGCTCAATATATCACTACTCCCTTATATGATGATGTCACAATAGGATCTCTTCACTAAAGACTCCTTACACAATGTGCACACATTATAAAAAAATCCATCTTAGCCTTCTTTCATTTGAATAATTTCTGATTTAAACATGAGGTTTTAAAAGCCTAAATAACCCCAAGTATAAGTGTAATTCGATATTAGGTACAAGTTAATATTTCTATATTTATCGACTTCTTGTCTTTACCCTGTTGCTTCATAAAAGCAGTAGCAGCATTAAGCAGTTGAGATCCACGGCATATACCATCCTCTGGCATTCACATTTAGTAATTGAGGTCATGACCTATGGATGGCTCTTAGGTTTGGTCTAAAAACTGTACATAAGGATTGACATTCACCATGATTTGATCACGTGTTTGACCAGTGAACACTGTGGTCTTATTCTCCACTGGTGGTACTGGTGCCCTTTAGGTTGTAATGAATGAAATGTAATTAAAGCAAAGCAAAAAAATCTCCAAACACTGAAAGAGAATTCAGTCATGCTTCAAAGTGTGTACATTTCCTGTGTGCTGCCAATATTTGTACTTATTTTAATCTAAAGTAACTGTCTCTGGGGGATTCTTTAGTGGTGTATATAATTCACCTTACCTTCCCCGCTCTTCCGCTCATCTTCACATCTGCATTAATGTACTTTACTCAGTTGAGGTCGCAGAAGATATGCCTCTGCTATTTTTCCCCATAGGTCAGTGCATTTTGTTCCACCAATTATTAACCATCGCTGTGAGGGATGAGGGTGTGCCTGTGTGTGGAACAGTGGTGATTAAGAAGCTGGGATGGCTTCATAAACAAGTCTCGTACTAATAAAACTAAATACCTTATGTCTGTGTTCTGGTGCTCGCTTGCTTTGTTGTGACGGAAGGAAGGTTGTTATGTTTATTAATAGCTTAGTATTCATCAAGCCACTGGGCAGATATGGCCAAACTTTTGAAACTTTTAGGTGTTGTCCAACATCAGCAGCAGTCAACGTTATGTGTACATAGAAAAGTGTGTCTTTGTCAATACATGTTGTTGCCTGTTCATTCTCTCTTACTGCTGTGTATGCCATTGTTTTCTATGTTTTATCTTCTTTGCTACATATCTTTTAGAGACACAGTTTTATATTTTATTAAACTGGCTCACTCATTCTCTTGCCAATAGTCAGATGAAAAATGTAATAGTGCTTGCACGTCTATTTTGACAGAAGCCTGTTAAAACATTTAAATACCCTAAAGCTCACATTAGCTAGTTATATAGTATTGTTGTCTAGATGCAAAAAAATGTCACTTGTGAGTTTACAGAGAAGACATAAACACTAAACATGCAGCAAAAGTCTCCTGCCCACTTGAAACCAAGAACAATACAGCACTTGAGTGCCGGCTGTCTCCAGGCAACCTCAAGGTAACAAGACTTCCCAAGTTGCTGTCTATCCAATAATAATTTAAAGTCCATACTAGCAAAGAACAATCTAAGATGTGATGGAAATCTGTTACCTTTACACAGTCAGCCTAGATGTTTCCTCTAAAACTCTAAAACACAATTATAATGCAGTTTAGTTGAAGTTTCATGGACCTGGATTAACGTTACATTAATGATAATCCAGGTGCTAAATAACACCGAGCACCTTTCTTACTCCTAAGGGTTTTACATAAATTCTATACTTATTATTATGTACTATATTTATATTTAAAGTTAAGCAACAAGTTTGCTGCAGTGTGTATAATTGCATGCAAACTGTGTGCTGTGTCTATTCCACCATGTAAAGCAGGGTTCCCAATCCCAGTCCACGGGGCCGGTGTCCCTGCAGGTTTAGATCTCACCCTGGGTCAACACACCTGAATCCATGATTAGTTCATTACCAGGCCTCTGGAGAACTTCAAGACATGTTAAGAAGGTAATTTATCCATTTAAATCAGCTGTGATGGATCAAGGACACATCTAAAACCTGCAGGGACACCGGCCTCGTGGACTGGGATTGGGGACCCCTGATGTAAAGGATGCTACAAAGGATGACGCATTTTCTCCAACAACAGATCTGCTCGAACAGAAACTGAAAACAGAACTCAGAAAAGGTCCAGAAGAAACTTTATAGCTTTACAGACACATTTCAGTGGACGAACAACCAACACGGCTGATTTGTTGGAAGAGTTGATTAACTGGACATCTCCAAATGTTAGAATACACCTTTAATGCATTAATTGCTTTATATTTCATGTCCACATGAAGTGTGCTAAATTAATTAACTTTGCTTTCTGTAGGGCTGCTGATCTTCTACTGATGTGAGCTTACCAACAACTGTTGCCTGATAGTCGTTAACGCCTCGATGGAGCTCATCCAGTTTGCTTTGCTGCCTCAGGAAGTCCCTACAGCTACCTGGAGCAACACCTCTGCCCCTCCTACTCTCATTTCCTGCTCCTTTCTACTCCCTCCGAACCGCTTCACAGCTTCAACCAAGATGACACTTCGTTTCTCCTTAACAGCTCCTGTCAAAATTGCACCAAAAGTAAACCAGGATCCCTCCCTGGCTTGGCTGGAATCTTCATCCCACTCATTTATGGCATCGTTTGTGTCGTTGGCTTGGTGGGAAACACTCTGGTCATCCATGTTGTTGTCAACTACACAAAACACGAGTCAGTCACAAACATCTACATCCTCAATCTAGCCATTGCAGATGAGCTTTTCATGCTGGGCCTACCCTTCTTGGCGGTACAGAACGCTTTGCTCTCGTGGCCTTTCGGCTCTCTGATGTGCCGAGTGGTTATGACAGTGGATGCCATCAACCAGTTTACCAGCATCTTTTGTCTAACTGTGATGTCAGTGGACCGATACCTGGCTGTGGTGCATCCCATCCGCTCTTCTTGGTGGCGGCGCCCCACGTGGCTAAGGCTATCAGTGGCACCGTTTGGGCGGGGTCCTTTGTGGTGGTGCTGCCGGTAGTGGTGTTCGCGGACGTGCTGAAGGATGATGGGAACTGCAGCATCGTGTGGCCTGAACCAGCAGAAGTGTGGAAGACATCGTTTATTGTCTACACGTGCACTGTTGGATTCTTCTGCCCCCTGCTGGTCATCTGTTTGTGCTACCTGCTGATCGTCATCAAGGTATGACTTTTAGAGTAACACTGAAATAATTTGAGTTTTTAAGATAAAGGAGGAAGTATGAGGCTGCAAACTGTTTTAAGAGTATTGTGGCTTCAGTCAACTAATGTTGATGTACTTGATTGACATTTTATGATTGACATTTAACTGTTCATCCACTGTCTAAAAAAAGCCATTTCCTTTAAGGCCACTCTTACACCCTCAGGAAAGGGCTAGGGGATGAGGGGATTAACAATGATAAGCTCAGGGGACAGATAACGAGTCAACTATACTGTTATATCACTCCAACAAAGGATGTCAACAGACTAGAATCTGCTGAAAAGACAAGAAATGGTTAATCAAAGAAAAACTTCACTCTCACATAGGGCACTGACTGCTCACTACTAGCTCAAACACAGCGCTAAACTCATCGTCAAATACGTCAAAGCACATCACTACACAAGCCTCTGCAGGCTGGGAAACAAACACCTAAGGTCACCACAGTACTGACACTGGCGTACACCGAGGAGCTCTTCACAAGCTTGTATCCAGCTATACACTGGCTCCTCAGGAGAAATGGGCGGCAGCTGAACCTGTGGGAGCCTGCTAGGGTTATAACAGCCACCCTCACTTTAAGCCAGCTTTCTTCTGTTCATTATAAACAGGTTGAAAGAGCAGGCGGTGGCTGTGTTCACAGCCAGAGCTGTGAGCATGAGATGACCATATTAACGATGTCCCCACATATTACACAGATAAACAAGCAGTAAACACTGTCCTAAACCTCACTGTGCACAGCGATTACTTGCACATGCATTGGCCACAAGGTTTACAAATTTGGGCCATGTTTAACATGAGTATCTAATTTTAACAGTATACACCAATGAGGCTTAATATTATGATCACTGATAGGTGAAGTGAATAACACTGATTATTTCTTTATCGGGGGACCTGTTAGTGGGTGGGATATATTACGGAGCAACTGAACATTTTGTAGTCAAAGTTTATGAGTTAGAAGCAGAAAAATCGGCGAGCACAGGGATTTGAGTGAGTCTGTGTTACGTTCCCCTGGGGGGGGGTCTAGGCGGTGAGGGGAAGTAACAAAAGTGACCGGGTCAGAAAAAGGAGTCAAGGAGGCGAAACAGTTTAAATAAAACAGTTTTATTGAAGTAAGTCAACTAAAAGAGACGGACAAGCCGTTATCACCATAAAACACCAACAAAACACAAACAAAACTCAGGCGTTGGTCAAATAAAGCAAAAAGTCAAAAGGAAAGCGCAGCTCACTAGCTGGACAACACACTACACAGCTCACTAGCTGGACAACACACTACACAGCTCACTAGCTGGAAACTACCGCAAACACTCAGCTCACTAGCTGTACCCACACAAAATGGCACTCTGGCCCAGAGCTCACCCTGCTCCGGGCTTAAATACCCTTAATTGCTGATGGGAGTCAGCTGTACAGGAGGGAAAGGTGGCACCTCAGGCAGAAGAGGTGGTGGGACACGCCCACACAGGCACCTTCAGGAGGAGGCCCTGCTAGGGCCTGCTTAATAATATTAATATTGTGATGGCTGGATCATCTCCAAAACTGCAGCTCTTGTGGGGGGTTCCCGGCTTGCAGTAGTATCTATCAAAAGTGGTCCAAGGAAGGCGCAGTGGTGAACCAGCAACAGGGTCATGTGCAGCGCATGAGGCAGCATAGCTGCAGACCAGTCAGGGTGCCCGTGCTGACCTCTGTCCATTCATGAAAGCACCGAAAATGGGCACATGAGCATCAGAACTGAACCACGGAGCAACAGAAATACATGGCCTCTAAAGCTGTGCCGTCTTTCAGCAAAGCAAACATGTTTCAGGACTGGTTTGAGGAGTACAACAACATGTTTAAGGTTGAGAAGCTCCGAGGCCCCACCTCGCAACTTCCAGAACTTAAAGGATCTGTTGCTAGAATCTTGTTGCAGATACAGCATACCTTCAGGGCTCCAGTGGAGTCCATGCTTCAGGGCTGTTTTGGTATCAAAAGGGGGACCTGTGGCCTGTGGTCATAATGTTATCCCCGATCTGTATCTGCATGAGTGTGTGTATACACTGTTACTGTAACTTGTTTATATGTAAACAAGGTTATAACTTTTCATCTTCCACTTTCACAGTTGCTAATCTTTTTGCAGTCATGATTAACATTGCTCATGTTGACTCATTGTGAATCATGTTGCTGCATCTGTGGGAAACATAAATGAACTTTGGGAACATAATGGCTCCTTCCACACTAAAACTCTGTCTCGGTTATTTTTGTTTTAAAAAAAGAACCTCACTCCTCTCCACAGTGACGTCCCCCTAAACTTACATTACTCAGAAAATCTGCCAACATGTGCGTAGATGCTGAAGCCCAACGTAAATGGACTACACTCTGTTAATATCACTAATGGCACAGGAGGATGAGTGTACTTAAGTAGTATTTGCACAGACCTAATGGAAAAGCAGAGTGTGCCATGGTTAGCAGGTGTTTCTACATTTTGGGAGAAAAACAGCAATCAGACAGCGTGAATGTTGTTCTTCCAGCAATCTGAACTCTTAACTCTATAAATATGTTTAAACAACAAACAGAATCATGTATATGGGGCGATCGTGTCTCAAGAGTTGGGAGTTCGCCATAAGGTTTCCGGTTTGAGCCCCGGCTTGGACAGTCTCAGTCGTTGTGTCTTTGGGCAAGACACTTCACCCATTGCCTACTGGTCAGAGGGCCTGGTGGCGCCAGTGTCCGGCAGCCTCGCCTCTGTCAGTGCACCCCAGGGTGGCTGTGGCTTGCCATCAACAGTGTGTGTGAATGGGTGGATGACTGAATGTGTAAAGCGCTTTGGGGTCCTTAGGGACTAGTAAAGCACTATACAAATACAGGCCATTTACCATTTATCCTCTCTAACCACCAGCAGGATCTCAGATAGTGTTGTCTGTTTGTCATAGTTGTGTACTGTTTGATAGTTTACGTTATTTCAGTGACTTTTCTATTTCAGGAAATCCATCCATCTATTCATCCATCCATTCCTCCATCCATCCATCCATCTTTTTAACTACTGGGTCATTAAGGAGGCTGAAGCCTATCCCAGCTGTCATTAGGCAAAGGGCGGGGTAGACCTCGGACAGGCCAGAAAACAGGATTAATCTGGTACACTAGTCTCTTTCTTTCTGTAAAAAAAAACATCTGTGTCTGCAAACATTTGTGTTATCAGTTTCATTTGAGCCTGCATACATTTTGGACAGACTTTCTCATTAACCTGTTTTTAAATTGAGGGTATTTGCTTTCCTCTCCTTTAAAGGTAAGAAGTGTTGGAAAACGGGCACAGGCCACATCCTCCAGACGCAAGAAGTCAGAGCGTAAAATCACCCGGATGGTAGTTGTTGTTGTGGCGGTGTTCATCTTCTGCTGGCTGCCGTTCTATGTTCTCAACATTCTCAACCTCCTTGTGGTCCTGCCTGGAGACTTCAGGGGCCTCTACTTCTTTGTTGTTGTTCTTTCATATGCCAACAGCTGCGCCAACCCCATACTCTACGGATTTCTGTCTGACAACTTCAAGAGGGGCTTCAGGAAGGCGCTGTGCCGCACGTCGCGCAGAGTGAACAGCAACGACAGAACCGGCATCGAGGCCCAGAGGCCCACGGAGGAGTGGGGCGGCATTGTTCTCCGACAGCAAATAAGTGAGGGAATCACTCACGTGCATGGGAAAGAAAGTAGTAGAAATGAAGAAGAGGAGGAAATAGGTGGGATAGAAGGTGCTATACAGATGAGAGAAATCTGTAAGACATCACAGAATGGGAATCAGAACGGAGTGAAAGAGGACTCAAGGACACAGGTCACACAGAGGGGTACACGTGACCAGGGTGCAAGCTTTAATCCTGCTGAGGGAGTGTCCTCTTTGGCCAGTAAGAGAAGTAGGTCACCTGAAGAATTCCTGGACCAAAACTCTGTGCTTGATATCAGCTACCTGTAACAGAAATTTGCCCATTTTCAGTGGATTTGGGTACCTGCTGTATTACAGCGTCTTTGAAGTTGGTTTTAATGCCAGTTTATGGTAACAGTCTGGCATCATTAATGCAAGTGTTTTGCCACAAAATAAAAGGGTAACAACTTAATCTAACCATGAGAAACTATAGCGGCAGGCACAATGAAACCTGAAGGACACAACAAACACACAAAGATGCCTGAATGACCACTGTTTGTAAGTATCGCTGTTATTTTGAACCAGACTGTTACTTCTGAAACTTCTTGTGCTGAAATGGCTAATGCACTAAATGAATCATGCCCCAGTGGGAAACCACATGACTAATGACCCACTGTGGAATGAAAAAATGTCAGCTGTTTACTTTTATTGCGTTGGCTTTTGAGAGCAGCCCACAAAGATAATTAGCACTGTTTTCAGAAAACACGCGTCTCAGTCAGGCTTGTGTGCATCATTTTCACCTGAATTAGTGTACATGTGTGGAGATCAACCAATTACTTTTCTTTTTTAAGGTTAACTAAAACCATGCTTTAGGTCGCAGCTTAAGAACAAGTGTAATAATAAATGTACTTGCTAGTGACCTAAATAGACTGTTGTTAAAAATCTCTACATTAATTGTGATTTTTATTCAACTTTGAATGTTTAATGAGTTTAATAAGTCGAAGTGCAATTTTTGTTAATTTTGTAAAGCTATATATTTAGAGTGCTCAAAAATAAAGGAACACTTTGAAAGCACATCAGATCTCAGCTGATAAGGACTGGGTAACGTGTTAGAGATAAAGAATACCATATCAATTGATGGAAATTATCAGCCTACAGAGGACTGAATTCAAAGGCTCTGCCAAGCATAGGACCAGTCAAGAGTATTAATTCTGTCAGGAAACTGCCTGCATACTCTCACTGCAAGAGGAACCCAGGTCCTACTGCAGCAGCGTGGGGGCTGACAGTGGATTCAAGGATTTCATCCTGATACCTAAAGGCAGTCAGGGTGCTGTTGCTTAGTCTGTAGAGGTCTGTGCATCCCTCCATGGTTATGTCTCCCCACACCCACTGTGCCATCATGAAGGAGCTGGACTGCATCTCTGTTAGGTCCTGGTATCACCTCATGCTACCAGTAGTGACACTGACACTTTCCAGGTGCAAAACCAGTGAAAAACAGTCCGCAAAGACAAGATTCCTGTTTTTGTGCCTGCCTCATTGTTACCCCTCTAGTGCACCTGTTGTTAATTTTATTAACACCAAAGCAGCTGAAACTGATGAACAACCCCCTCTGTTGCTTAACCAGATCAATAGCCCACAAGTTTAAAACCTTATTTTGTACTTTGATTAAAGTGTTCCTTTAACTTTAGCATAATGAGCAGCATAGTTTTCAGCATTACACAGTGTTAGTCAGTGTAAAGAAACTGAGTCACATTGAAAAATTAAGACGTTTTGTCATTTATTGTGATCTTGGTGTTTTACGTCTTGTTTAAGTCTTTTTTCCACTATCAAAACTTTGTATTATCAGTGATGTTTTTAATGCTATGGTGAAGTATTAAAGCCAAGTAGTGACAGTAGGCTAAATAAATGTTTACTGTAACCAACTAGAATGTTTAAAAAAAGAAAGAAAGAAAAGGTATTGTATGAAAAAAAAAGTCATGTAACCTACTTCACAACATATGGACATGTATATAGTATGTGCCTAACATATGTATGTAGCATGTATGTAAGTGTCACGCCGTCATAACGTGCTCACCAAAAAAATGCTTAAAACCAATGAAAAACCGTTGGCTTTATTTCACAATGCAAAATTAATTAAAGACATAACAGATGTAACAGATGTCTGTTCACATTAAACATTTCAGGGTTCACCGAGACAAAGTTAAATTCTGCACCAGTTTAACTTTGAAAAAGGACAAAACATTGCTGCCCTCTAGAGGTCCACATACTAGAGGGAAGGCAGTTATTTACAAGCCTCAGCTCATTGCTAGGAGAAAGAAGCATTGCAAATATTTCAGAACATGTTTTTAATCCCAACATTTAATGCAGTTTGTAATAATAATTACAAATCTGGACAGGTTTTTTTTGTAACGGGGGTGTGTTTGAAAAGAATGAACTTTTGTATTATATAATTTTTTTTACATCCATCAATTATCCCAAAATTCTTCCACTAATCTAACTGTCCACCTTTACTCAGGAACAATGTCTCCAATCCACTTAAGGTAAGGCGGGTTACCCTGGTCAATAGGCAGGCTGATGACCTCAGCCACCTCATAGGGATGGTTAGAGCTGTGGAGGACAATCCATTATGAGTCAAATAAACAGAGAAAAGCCAGTACTTAAAACTGCGACTGCATGAATCATGACATAATGGAGCAAATGATGAACGCAATGTTCTAGTGCAATCTGTTTTATGTGTTGAATATTAAAACAAACTTACCGGACATATTCAGCAAGAGCGGGTACCTTGGAACTTCTTGTTTTGATCATCTAGATTTGGAAAGACACTGTGTCAAACAGGACTTCAGACATACTACCTTTCCATTTAATCAACTTCATGAAGGAGAAAGCTCATGCTGAACAGTTTAAAATATAGTTTGCCATGTTCTAAGAGACCATGACCTAATATGTCACAGTAAGCAGACAAATAATGGGATCTATCCTGAAACTTGCCTTTATATTAAATACTGAAATGTTGCCCACAGCTGAGAATGGTTATCAGTGCTGTTCCCTCTAACAGTGACTACAGAAAGTAGGACTGAGTCTATCTACTAACAGCTCATATTGACAGTCATTTAGTCACAACCTAAGCTTAAAAACTATAGCTCTTCTATAGAATAATCTTATTTCCAGGTTCAATTTTCTGTCCTCAAGTTACTCTAGAAGTGTCTCGCACTACTTTTTTGAACCATTGCCCTCCTTCACATCCCATTCTGCAGCAGGTTTACTTCAAGGACCTCTGTTTATTTAGTAGCTTTCATTCTCCCCCCGATTGTGATACATTTCCCATCCCTGTTTGCTGTGAAGTATTCCCGGAGCATGATGCTACCACCACCATGCTACATCGCAGGGATGATACCGTAGCCAATAATCAGTGCTTTGTGTTCACCGGTAACAGAATTTGGACTTAAATGCAAAAAATATTAGAGTTTGTCTTTTTTGATTTTGCCCTTACAAATCATTTGGTTGAAGTTTAGATAATAGCATTTACTTATATTGTTTTCCATTGAACTACTCAACCAAAAAAAACAACAACAACTAACTGTTGGAGCTCAGTTGAGCCACCTTTCAAAAGGTTTCACAATTCTCTCCTGAGGTCTTCTGAAACTCTGTTGGAGGGACAGAGTCTTGAGCGCCCCTGTAACCAAGTACCAACATGATTTTGTGACTGATTTCACTCTTGGAAGAGTCTCTGTGGTTTTTAACGTCTTCCATCTCACAATTACTGATGCTGCTTGCTGTGGGGAGCACTCAAGACTTTAGAAATCGGACAACAACTTGGGGCATCACATCAAAGGGTCTAAATACTTCTGTAAATTAGGAATTTTTTCTTTTAAATATTTCACTAATAAATTAAACTATATCAATAATAGGATCTGAAATAATAACAGTCTTACATTACATTTTGCCCCCAAGACATACAAATGGATTTTAGCTGCATCTAAGCAATATATACCCAGAAAGCACTCACCAGAAGCACCTCATTGTCCTCCTCAATCTTCCCCTGCCATTCATATCTGAAGGAACAGCACACAATTATTTTTGGTTATTAAGTACTAGCTTCAGAGTCAGGAAGACTTCTGCTAGTTAGAACAGTATAAATATAGTCTATAATTTACAAAAAACAACACTGGCAAAGAAAGCTCAGTGCAACATGATACTAAAGAATAGCTAATGTGAAACATACATAGATTTGATCGCTGGAACAATGTTGACACAAGCTGCTAGCTTCTTTTCCACAATACCCCTGTGAGAAAGAATAAAAGAATGAAATGAGCACAGATGAAAAACATCTCATGGTCCTTGTATCCAGCTAATGAAGACAGAGAGTTTTTACTTGAACGTGCACATTTGTGCAAGGATCCATCCTGCCTTGTATCAATGGTTCAGACTAGTGGTGGTCTAATAGTGTGGGGGATATACTCTGGAGCACTTAGCTTCAAAAAGAAATGGTTTAAACATCACAGCCTGCCTGAATATTGCAGCTGACCATTTCAGACCCTTCATGACACCTGATGGCAACAAACTGCATCACAAACCTCAAATCATCTCAAGATGGTTTTACTGAACAGGTGACGGTGAGTTCAATGTACACAAGAGGCCTCCACATTCACAAGCTATCGATCCAGTAGAACACCTTTGGAAAGTGGTGGACCAGGAAATTTGCATGAATGTTCTGCAGCAACCATCTCGTCAACACAGGCCAAAATCTCTGAAGAATGTTTCCAGCAGCTTGTTCAATTATTGCCAAAAAAACAGGTCCAACCGAGTAGTTGTAAGGTGTACCTAACAAAGTGTCTAGTGTGCATATATTATAAACAGAACCGTTATTGTGCCATTTGAATCACCTGGCTAAATCTCTAGCAACTGTGTCATTAGGACAGGTGACAAAGGCAGCAGAGTGTGTGCCTGATGTGTACGTCTCAGATGCCATGGAGAAGGCCCTCAGTCCCACGGTCCTCAGCAGCTGGAACATAAACAGGCTCAGGAGCACTGTCTGACAAGAGAAATGAATAAACGTTAGAGCAAAGCATGTTTCCTTTTTTCATTTTACCTAACTTGATGAGCCAAGTGTTAGAGGAAATCGCACACTTACCAAAAGCAAAGCTTTTAAGGATCCACCCTGTAGTGTCTCTGCTGTGGGCAAACCAATGCGCATTGCCTGAGCAGGTGAGACACACGAAGCTTAGGCTTTTCCCCCCTTTGTTGTAATGTGTCTAAACAGAGTTACATAAGGGTTAGTACTTGAAGCAGCTTGTCACACCATGCAAACACCATGAAAGTCTCTGTTAACTTCCCCACTTTTGCATTCAACACGCTCCACTCAACAAAGCAGACCATAATTTAAGAGAACGGGCTGTAGAAATGCTGCAGCCGGGTTGCATGCTTAGGGTTTGAACTTGCAGGTGAGTTGTGTTTAGCATTGCACTGCTAGTAACCACAGTTAGCTGTTAGCTGCTGGGCGTCGGCAAGAAGCTCGTGAGTGTGTGAAAGAGCAACACGGCACGGCACACTCACTAAAACGCTCTGATAAGTTGTTCAGCTGGATTGCAAAGTGTTGCTATAATGTAAATTCCTTGCAACTTACCTTCTAACCGCAGTCTGTCACTGCCCAACCCCTACAGGAAACCTCCTGTAAACCTTCCTGTCCCTACCTTTCAAAATAAAAGCCCCTGACATGCATGTTGCGTGACAGCGGACTAGACGGAATTGGAATTCAAATTCACATTTCTGCATTTATTAATTTTTTTTCTGAATTTCGGGAAAATAAATAAATAATAATTTCTAATTAGTTACTTTTCTATAATTTCTACTATCTTATAAGTTTAATTTCATCATTTACACACACATTGGTTTTATCTAACACTCACACACAAGCATTTACCCCAGTGAATGCACTGGAAGAAACCTTCTCATAGGTAGGCCACGTGCTCAGCCAAATGAGCCACAACAGCCCCTACGTCTGACAGAAAACACACTTAACAACAACTAAAACAAATCTTGTAGCTTATAATATTCCCCATATATATTAAATATATTGTATTTAATAGTTGTACCTGACCTTGAATATATGTATTATATCCACATGACTGTTGCATGGCAAGCAGTTTAACTGTCAGATGATGGCTGTTCAGGTTTTGTTCCATGAAATAATAGTGTTTATTGATGATTTGACTGCTCACAGAAGTAGCTTTATGAACAGGGCTATACTCTGCTCAGATTCATGTAGATGCTGTTTCACAGTTCAAATGGATAATGACCCAAAGAATACTGCAAAAGCAATAGAAGAGTTTTTTAAGGCAAAGAAACTGAGTATTCTTCAGTGTCAAAGTCAGTCACTTGGTCTCAACCCAACAGAGTTACAGTCACTGAATGGTAAATGGTAAATGGCCTGTATTTGTATAGCGCTTTTCTAGTCCCTAAGGACCCCAAAGTGCTTTACACAACCTGTCATCCACCCATTCACACACACATTCACACACTGAAGACAGAAGAGCAGGAGAGAGACCCTCAAATATGTCAAGGCCTGGCAGAGCATCACAAGGTAGGAAACACAGCATGTGATGATGTTTGATTGATTGATTTTTATTTAAGTATATATAAAAAACAATCACATTTAAAATTATGTTCGTTTGGCCAGTTGCATCTGAACCTCTGAAAACCTGGTTTCAAAAAGCAGATGTAATTCCTAAACTCTTAAAGCAATACTTTTGTTAGACCCTTGAATTAATGCTGAACATCTGCAATCTGCAATTGATTGTTTCATTTAAAATCCACTGTGGTGATGTGTAGATTCAACACTGCAAAAATTGTGTATTTGTCAAAAATCCTCATAGAGCTAAATTTACACTAAGCTCATTTTATAGTTCCATGGTTTTGCATTGTTTGCTTAAGTGCATATCATGCTAAAACGCTAAAGTACAGGAAGTGCCCCGCAACAAAAGTCAGTCAATCAGGAAACTGCAAAA